ATCGGGTGGAAGAAAATTGCAATTACAGGAAACCGCAGCACATGCTGGGCACATTTTTGCAGTGTTGAACTGAATTCGCAGCAAATGCTCTGGCACATACCAAATTCGGGACACGCGGTAACAAGCATGGCAAACTTTCGAGGTCCAAAGTGAGTATATTTTACTTGTCTTTTCTCAAATACCCTAATTATCTGAGTTCCTTTAGTGCAGCATAGTTTTGTAATTCTTTTTTTTTTTTCACAGCAACTTTAGATCAGACAATGGTGAGGAAGATGCACCGTTGTACAACGGTTATTTATTTCAGAGAAGTCAAGAGCAAGAGAGTTATCAAAATCAACTAGGAGCGTACTCTCCATATCCGTATTATTTAACTAGCAACCCAAGAATACCTTACCAGTACGTTCCTCAGGAGGCTCCGCAATCTTGTAGCCCAATCAGCAGTTCTCAAGCTGACTTATCTGGTGAGAAGGGTGTCACAGAAAAGAGCAGGCGTACAAGCTGGGAACATGCAGAAACACGAAGTTTGATTGCAGCCTACCGGGAAAATTACAATCGTTTAAAGTCCACAAAGAGTAGCCATGGCAAGAAAAGCGTATGGGATTCAATTATGGCAGATTTTGTTAGTTTCTGCTGCGATGCCAGCATAGAATCAGAGAAAACACTAGCCCAGATTAAAGAGAAATGGCGCTCTTTGTTCGACAAATACAAAGCCGTCAAAGATAACAACAACAAGACAGGAAGGGACCGTAAGACCTTTGAGTTTTACGATGAGATCGATGAGTTCATGTCAGGGTCCGACAAAGTGAACCCAAAATTTGTCAAGGAGACAAGAGTAATTCAAGTGAGGCCACAGGATTCCGCGACGAATTCTGAGAGTAGGGACAGTGACGAGTTAGCTACTGTCACTACTGCTGATCCAACAACAGTCGCTGTTGGGGAAAAGCCCAATGAGAAAGAGGATTCACCCTGCCCACCAAAAAAGAAGAAAAAGAGAGCAAGCCTTGATGGAAAAGAGGCAGAAAGTACCATTCTGAATCTCATGGAGCCACAACAAGCAGCCATCGAGAAAGCAGACGAGAAAGACCAGCGGATGTTCGAGGCTTTGTAAAAATCCCAAAGCGACTCTCAACAAAGGCACCAGGAATTTACTCTTTCTGTCTTGGGCAAACTAGGCGAGATTTTCTCTTCAAAAAAATAAAGAATTTTTTTTCTTTACAGTATACACAACTAAAAAATCAATTGTTCAAGTTGTAGTTTTCTGTTTTTAAGGACATTGAACGTGAATTTTAAACCATTTTATACACAATACGACAAACGAACTCTCACGTTTTTTTTATTAATAGATTAAAGTGTTACGAGGAAAATTCATGTGATTTTATTTTTATATTTTAATGTTCACATAATTTCTTAAATGCTGCCACTAGGCATGGCCATGTTACAGTTTTGCATCAGTTATAGTTCAGAACATTCACGAGAAACATGAAAGCTTGTATGATTATTATTAAACCTGGGAATTCAGTTTTGCTCTTTTAATGAAAATTTGAATAAAAATAGAGTTTTACAATCAAACGTTGTGATTAAATGGTGAGAAAAGGGTAATCAGGGGAGTGGTTTTACAATATTGAAATTATACAGGGCCAACCACAGAAACATGGTCTAGCGTTGATCAGTTACTTGCAAGTAAACCAGGCTCCTCTGTTTTCATTTTCGGTGGCTGTTCACGAGGTGTTTACTATGGAAGGCCTTTACACTAGTGTCCATACTACCTTATTTTATTACGGAACAGAGAGCATCACTGAAAAAAAAAATTATTGATTTGCTACAAATTCAATAGCCCTTATCGGAGTTGAGCACGCGAAATCAGCGGTCTCCGGATGAGCTTACGCCAAAACGAGGCTATCGGGTCTAGCTCGCCCCAAAGTACAAGAAAGCAGAGAGGGAAATTAGTAGTAGCTTGGTATTTACATAATATTTTCTCGAGTTTTTAGTTTCTTTATCCATGGTGAAACATTGCATAGCTTTTGGGTGTCAAAACCGAAGTTCCAAAGCGGAATGCAAGGACTTATCATGGCATTCGCTGCCGCTGTCAAACAAGAATTTGCTAGCACAATGGCTCGTGAAACTGCGTCGAGAGAACACTCCGGTAAACAAAAACTCTTATGTCTGTAGTCAGCATTTTGAAGCTAATTGCTTCATAAAACCAATGGGAGGACAAAGAATTCGCTTGAAGCAAGATTCCGTACCGACAAAGTTTATATTTACTGTTGAAAAACCAAAGAGGAAAGAGCCCGCTGATCGAGCAACGTTGAACACAAAGAAAACAAAAATAGAAAAATCGCAGCAGCATTCAGCCCCCGAACCGATAAACATTGAAAACACCGATTTTAAATCTGTTTCAGATGGTATGGAAACTGAACATCTCGAAAGTAAAGGTTTATTTCAAATTGTAGATGAAAACTGGGAACATCAACTTCAGTTAAAGAATGACGACATCTCATGTTTACTTGAGAAATGGCAAACTAAGTTTTTGGATATGACCATGTCGAAACAAACCGAAAGCTTTGCTGCTGACATTCTTGAAATCTTTGTTGGATTCATTGTCTTTAGCTTTTCTTTCAATAAAGTAAGACACGATATTCTGAATATTAAATGAAGGGACATCGTCCTTCGCGTCAACCAGCGAAACCCATTGTGCAGATCCAGGGAAATCACAATTGACGGTCGCCGTTTGCTCCAGTGGTTTACTTGCCGCCAAGTGTTGCCACTTCTCCGTAAAATTTTTCTCCCAACCATTTTTTATATAACTGATGACCCTGCGGCAGGTAAAACAAATCGATATAGAACTTATGCTTCGATATTCCCTTCAAGCAATGGCAATAATTATAAGGGACAAAAAATATTGCAATCTGTGTACCTTTGAGATAACTCAGCCTTCGTTGCTTCAGACCGTGCACTACCATCTTTAGCCGTCCCTTTAAGGAATGACAACCATTCTTTGAGTCTTTCTTTAGTAATATGCCGTGGGAAATTACCACTTATCAACTGCACTTTCTCCTCAGCGGAAAAAAAGGCCGCTTGTGGAAGATTTGTGGAACACTCCATAAGTTTTCCTCACTTTCTCACACAAATCTGATCGATGGTGACCCGATAGCCTCGCTTTGATGTTTACTCACAAGAATACCGCTGGATTGTTTGGGTGGCGTGCTCAACTCCGATAAGAGCTATTACAGCCAGTCGAACACCGTTTGTAGCCTGGCTGGGAACTCCATTGTCATCATCAGCGTCATCATCGCTATCGTCCTCAACATCTCCATCAAATTCTTCCCCTCGAATAATACAAATGTTGCGAAGTACACAGCATGCTATGATGGTGTTTGGACTCCTCCAATGATCCTCATCCAAGCGCTTCAGTAGTGCTCTCTACGTACCCTTTAACAAACCAAACGCATGCTCAGAAACTATTCATGCTTTAGAGAGTTTCTTATTGAACTTCTTCTGGTCTCGGTTAAGGGCTCCATTATCTTTGATAACCGGTAGAAGCCAGGTCTTCAATGGGTACGCTGAATCTCCCAGCACAAGTGGGCGAATTACGGTTCCCCCCAAATCCAGGGTAGGTTCCATGAGAATGTCCTCATTTTCAGCGGCCCAGTACACATCGCTTAGTCGCAGCATTCGAGAATCATGCAGACTCCCGGGAAACCCAGTGGCAAGAGATAAAAAGAGTCCCGAAGAGTCAACAATCCCTTGTACTAAATAACTGTAAAAATGTTTCCGGTTAAAGTAGTCCTCGTGATTCTCTTTTGGTGCTTTTATAGGAATGTATCTACCGTCAATCGCTGCAACAACATTCGGAACCTTGCTCTTCTCAGAGAAACCTTCAATTTTCCTGCTTATTTCCACCCTTGTAGAAGGAAACTTTATGAAGTCATCCTGCAGATAGCAAATTGCCTCTACAAACTCATGACAGCACTTAACCACTGTAGGTTTTGCCAGTCCGATCATCAGTCCACATGAGCGGTAGCACTCGCCAGTCGCCAAACGCCACAAGCTCACAGCCACTCGCTTTTCAACTGGAATAGCGTCACGCATTCTAGTGTTTTGTCGCGCTATTGCTGGCCCTACCAGCCTACAGATATACTCAAAAGTAGCCCGAGACACGCAGAAGTTTTCCTTCCACCAGTGATCGAGAGCTCTGCTGTTTAAAAGTTCCTGGAACCAGTTCTGCGGACGAGGAAATACCCAAGCACGTCTTGGCCGGTGAGCAACTTGCAGGCGACGATTTCTATAGAACAAATACAACATCTGGAGTGATTGTAAGTCGTAATCGCAGACGCCTTCTACGCATTCGCCTTAGAATGAAGTTTTGGATCGCTGAATCAACCGGATATTGCCGTATAAGAAGAAGAAGAACGACTGAAAGGAGACCATACGTCTCGCAGTTTGCGATCTCCATGATGCATTAAATTTCCCGCCAAACACAGCTAGGTCAAACGTTCACCTCAGGCAATATTTTGCAATGTAACCGGAAAATATTATCTAACCGGAAACCCAAGCTGATCCCATCCCAAGCCAATTTCCCCTTGGGAAACTGTGGGCAGAACGTAAGTGTAACCACAACTATAGAACGTGCCAAGGTCAAAACTGAGATTGAAGAATTGTCCTTGTATTGTGCCAACGCGTGGCTGCATAAATTTTAACTCTTAAAATTATCACTAGATTTAGTGCTTTCACCTGGATATTCCTTGTCAGAATTTAAAAGTTGAACTTAAAATTCATTGGTTTCGAACAACATGCTGGTTTAGGCCCGGGTCGCACTTGTGAAATTTAGTTCCAAATTGTGTTTATTTTAGGTTAAAAATCTGTCATCATGTCACGTTTCCTAATGCGACCGGCTTTTCACCAGTTTGGAAAAAATTGGGAAAACCGACCAAACTTCAAAGATGCCATATTGCATGGGTGGGGCAGGCTGATTTTGAAAAAATTGAGGAAAACAAAGGGAGCCGCTTCTGGAGCTGTCATTGCTAATCGATTTGACCCATTGCAGGCTGATCCTACCTGTATCGGCGGGAACTTGTAATTATTATTACGCACGTGCATTGGAATGGAAGGACAATATCCATATTATTATCCGCCCAGATCTTTTCCTGTCCACTTCAGGTACTACAACCATCCCCAGGTTCGACCGACTTGCAACTGCCAGGGCCTAGCGGTGTTTTAGCAGTCGGAGACCCAGCTAGCCGATCCATCAGCCCAACAACAACATTGAGCAATAGCCGAGTGATTTGACCGACGGAACTGTGAACGATGCCCTAGAAGTGGAAGCGGAAGATGCTGCTCAGTCCAATAGAAAGCAGTACGATAAATGGACAAAGGAAGAGCAGAAAGCACTTATAAACCTTTGGACTGATCGACATGAGCGTTTGGAAAGCAAAGACGCGCGGAAGATTTGGGAAGAAATTGCGTGGGAGATTAATCGAAGGTTTGGTACCACTTGCTCTGGAGAGAAATGCCAGAAGAAAATGAAATATCTCATCAAGAGATACAAAAAGGCCAAGGATTGGAACAGTCATCAGACGGGTGGACACAGATGGAAAACTGTCTTCTACGATGAAATAGATGCTGTTCTTGGATGCAGGGACGTTGTTACGTTACGTAATGTAGCCAAAGCGAGTGCATCAACTTCTGCCGCCAAGTCCGACGCAACCAAGTCCAAGGACAACGAGTTACTAGGACAAGACACAAGCCTAGAAGCTCGAACGGAGCGTAAAAAGAAATGTAAAAGAGCTAGACCTCAAGAAGGCGATGAAGAGGGAGACCTGATTAAAGCGTCCTTGGTAGGAATGGAGAAACAGCGAAAGGAAATGAACACAATGATGGAAAGCTTTACAGGGATGCAAGAGCAGCAAGCTAACACAATGAATGCACTAGTTGGGGCCCTGACAAATTTCTTACAAAATAGCGGCAACAACAACAAATGACTGAAACAGTGAATTTGCATCAATCTTATATTGAGACAACAAAGCGTTACAGTTCTTTATTTGAAATATATATATTTGTTACATTGTCGCTTCTGGAGAAGCTGTTTTACAAAACATGATTTTAAAAGCACTCAATGACTGACCTCGATTTATTTCGGAGTGTCTGGACGTTTAGACGTCAACATTAACCGTTATAGTTTTGACTTGAATATATTGACATATATTTTTTCAATTGTACAATGTTATTATAATTGTATAATCTCATATGTGAAGAACTCAATTTCTCCGATCACGTTTGGAGCTTGATCTCCAGGGCCAAAATCATCTTCCTCTTCCTCGTCGTCCCATTCATCCCCGCTTCTGATGCAGATGTTGTGCAACACTGCACAGGCTACAGCATTACGTACTGCAAATGGTATTCCACTGTCAAATCATTTCAGGAGTATTCTCCATCTACTTTTTAAAACACCAAAAGCACATTCAACCTTTACCCTTGCAGAGGAAAGTTCCTTATAAAACGCTATTTCCCTTGGGTCCCGTGTGCCCTCTGGATACGGTTTCATTAGCCATGGAGAAAGAGGATAGGCACTATCACCTAAAAGGTACGGACCTATGTCATGACCATTCACATTAACAGTTGGCTGGGTTAGGACATTCTTCTGTTCTGCTCTTTGAAAGATAGTGCTGCGCCTCCATACACGAGCATCGTGCATGCTTCCAGGATATCCACACGCAAAATCCATAAAAACCTTCTTGCCATCAACAATAGCTTGGATTATGAAGTCGTGCTGTTGATACCGAGTTAAATAATCCGGTGCACTGTCGTTGGGTGCTTTAATTCTAATATGCGAGCCGTCAATAGCCCCAACGACATTTGGTAGGTTGGTAAGATCTCCAAACGTTGCAATCGATGAACTGACTTCAGCGATGGTCTCTGGGAATTTTATGTACTTGTCACAAAGTTCATAGAGACCTTTCACAATGTCTTGTACAGCCTCCATAACAGTCGATTTTCCTACATTAAATGCTGGGCCAATGGTAGAAATTTTTGCGTGGGCCAATTTTGTTTTTGACTGTAATGCGACCCGGGCCTTACTCGCAAAATACATTACTTTCGCTGAGAAATTGTTGGAAAGCTTCAAGTTTGGCAGGAAGTTATGGGTCAGTGATTCGTCCAATTCCAGAGAAAACATGGCAAACGCTCTCATTTTATAACCTTCTGGTGCCCAGAAGAGGACAGTGAGGCGGGAATCATTTGAGAGATGGAAGATCCATAACAAGAATATGTGATACAGCTGCCAGGGAATTTAGACGACCGAAGATAACCTCAAGTGGGGCAATTATTCCAACTTATTAAATATTCAAATTGCCACCTCGAAGGAAAATACCACAGCGGCAAAAACAAAAGCAACAACACAACCTAGTACATCGAAATTCTTGAAGTCAAAACTCCAAATTGCACATCTAAACTTAAGATCAGTAAAGGAGAGGAATCATTTAATTCAGCTCAGAGAACTTATGC